TAAATATATTTGCATATGTACATGTCTTTATATAGACCTCTATAAATTCCCTTTGCCTCCCAGCTCTTTCCTCTATTGGTATGTTGTTAAATGTCATTATTTCCCCCAAAAAATGCACTGAAGTCTAATCCAAGTGTCTGGTGTACCACCACTAGATTAAACTTTCCTGCGATTACTGAAAAATGTAAATATATGAGAATGAATAAGTATTGCTGTCATATCATAGAAATCTTTAGTAAATAAAAATCTCAAAATGAAACTGGTTCTTGACAGGTCCTTCCCTCAGGACCACACATTTCTGGAGGTGGTGTTTCCTCTCCAGCCCTTTTCCTCAAAGATGTTTGCAGTCTCTGATTTACAGCTGGACAAAATAGCAGTGCTGCACCCTTAAGGTCTCAAATAGTGCTCTTCTAAAATGTTAGTTTGTGTTTTAAAGGGGCAAACTCAGGTCTAAACATTGGCCAGAGTAAGGTTCCTGGTAGGACAGGCCTGGTTACTCTCGAAGATGATGAGGTCCATTATCAGGAGAAAAAGAGAAGAACAAAAGAATCGTCTGAACAGCTTTCCTGGCCTTTCTCTCAAGAATACAGTTTTCTGTTTTTATTTTTTTAACTTCATAATAAGCCCATGTGATCATCCTGTGTCTCTCTGTCCACCTTAAGAAAATGTAGTGGGTATGCTCCTTGGAGATCCTTAGAAACACTTGCTGTAAGCTCCTGCCTTGAACTTAATGGCTGAGCATGTCTCCTCAGAAACCACGGTTCTGCTTGGGCCATTTTTCATGCCTCCCTAAAGTAAGATGTGTGTAGGACACAGAGGGAATTTATCTGCAGCCACCTGCTGATTGCAGAGACATGTTTCAGCATGTTTGCAGTACATCTGTGAACTGGGAGCCCAGCAGCAATACTTTTTGACATAACCCAGTAAATACGAGAGGACTTAAAAAGATACATGAGAAAAATGAAATGAAAAAGAATGGAATTTGTCCATGAGCATTTCTAAACCACTCAAAGAGATCTCATTTTATTTTCACTAATAATAACAATTAACAGCTAATGTTTATTAAGCATTACATA